CTTGCCACAGGGTCAATACAGTCATACCTCGAGCTGCGTTTGCTTCACATTGCGTTTTTTCAGGTTATGAACGCGGCAAACCCGGAAGTGTTTACTGCTGGGTTCGCCGCTTCACGCATGCGCAGGAGCTATCTTCATGCATGCGCAGGAGCGATCTATCTCTCTCACACACAGAGAATCAGAACTCTACTTACAGACTTTTCAGGGCACAAGTGGTACCCCGGAACAGATCACATATGTAAGTAGAGGTACCACTGTAGATGAAATCTTTTTCCTTGGAGCAGGATGGATGGAAAGCCACTATCAGATGTTTGCCCAATTCAGTTCTGCTGCTGAAAACAAATTCTTAGGTTCACAATATACTCAAGGGCATACTCATAGTTTGTTTTTGTTTTTTAAAAAAATCTAGTTGTACTGTATGTCTTTTGCACCTGGCTGGAGTTGATAGATTTTGGGATTCTAGTAATAAAAGACAAGTCCACTCAGTGCCAACCCTGGGTTAAATAAACCTCTGTTCTGATCAAGAGGTGGCATCGTTGTTGGCCTCCCCACTAACTCATTTATGCAAATTGTTGCTTATGAAAACAAGAATAGTAGTTTGTGCAAATGAGGGCCAGGTGAGCAGCATGACTGTTGTCTGGTAAAACGGGTTAGGAAATGAAAACAGAAGGGCAAGCAATGAGTTAAAACAGAGTCACCTGAATTGTACACAAAACCAACTTGCAAAGAAAAATGAGCACACTCTTTTTAAAATGTAACAAGACATATCAGGATCTGATCTTGAGACAGGCAAGGCGTCCCTCTTCCCCGTCATTGTGAGATGCACAGATAGCAACCTCAGCAAGAATGACCCAAGAGGAATTTTGCACTAGTATTTTTCCTTCCCAAAAATCTTTCCGTTAAAGGCACACAACACTGTACTATTCACACTTTCATTTTAATAGCTCTGGGGAAAGATTAGTCAGCTCCCTGAATAGCTGGGGGGTGCACAATAAAATAACTGTTCGACTGGGGGGAAAATGCTCTGTTGTCTTGCAGTACCAGTTGGTATTATGTAGGCTTGTTTGGTGTCTATTTATAATAGATTGCAATTGGGAACTGGATACAAAACAAACACTGGCGCTCCAGTGTGGCTTAACTTTATATCAGATTCTTTCTTGGCTAGTTTATTTTTAGATTAGCTATCTTTGACTTACAGATGGAGCATTAAGCAACACACCTTTAAAGAAAGCTGTATCTTCTCTAGCATCCACCAATGATAAGTTGTGAGATAGGAAAATAACTCAGGTCAGCCATTCCCATTTCTTCTATTTGAACTTTTGGGGATTGCAGAATAGGGCAAGGCCATTGAACTGTCAAGTTCAGGTAGAACACATAGCTCATTTTAGGTATTTGGGAGACTCTCTGGGACAATTGTATGTCCTTTGCATCTTCTCTGCTGTCGGTTACTCTGTTTACATTTTTTTGAGGTTGTTCTCCATTCCCTAAGGCTTTAGCAGAAATCCATTCACATAGTTTCCTGGTCACTTACTAGACAGCAGTTGCGTGTTGGATTTTTAAAAAAAGCTCTTTTATGTCTATGCGTGTCAAAGTGAGGTAATATGGAAACTTACTCCTGTAAATAAATATTTACATAATGCACTGGGCTCAGTAACGTCTCACCATTACATTGCTCCCTTGAGAAAAGGTCACTTTTGACATCATTAATCTTTTGAGGGCAAGATACATGCTCGCAGATAACATGGGTTTCGTTTTAGCAATTAGGGTGTCGCTGAATATAGGCTGTGCTTGTTTTCCCTTCCTAACAGAATGCAGCCAAAGTTAAACACTTCTGTGTGCCACTGATTTCATTGGGAATTAAACATTTCTAACCTTTGGCAGCATTGTGCCTGTTAAGAATGAGCTTTGCTGAGTCAGGCCAGAGAACTCTGGGAGCTGTAGTTCTGTGAGGAGAACTGGGGCTCCTAACACCTCTGAGCATCCTTTACAAACTAAAGCTCTCAGAAGTCCTTTGGGGGAGCCATAACTGTTCAAAGTGGTATCATTGATAGCATAGTCCATAGACCATGAGACTTAATTTCAGGGTCGTGGGCTCAAGCCCCATGTTGGGCAAAAGATTCCTGCGTTGCAGAGGAACGAGTTAGATGACCCTCGTGGTCCCTTCCAATTCTACAGTTCATAGTGCTTTAAATGTATGGTGGGAATGTGGCCTAGATTTACACGACAGGCAAAATTGTATTTGTCCAGGTCTCTCTTTAAAAAACCTGATTGTGTTGATGCTGTCTGGAGATTAGGCTCAGTGTTGCTTTTAAAATAGTAATAATAATAATAATGGAGGCATAATTTCATTCTGTTTCGTTCTTTATGGTTGTTTATGGTTGCATTCAGATGTGGAAATTATTGTGTTTGTTTTCCAGGTTATAGTGCTAGCACTTCTATCCCAGATTCTGTTGTTTCTTTTGCATTGTATTACCTGTTGTGTTAGGGACGCGGGTGGCGCTGTGAGTAAAAGCCTCAGCGCCTAGGGCTTGCCAATTGAAAGGTTGGCGGTTCGAATCCCCGCGGCGGGGTGCGCTCCCGTTGCTCGGTCCCAGCGCCTCCCAACCTAGCAGTTCAAAAGCACACCCGGGTGCAAGTAGATAAATAGGGACCGCTTACTAGCGGGAAGGTAAACGGCGTTTCCGTGTGCGGCTCTGGCTCGCCAGAGCAGCGATGTCACGCCGGCCACGTGACCCGGAAGTGTCTCCGGACAGCGCTGGCCCCCGGCCTCTTGAGTGAGATGGGCGCACAACCCTAGAGTCTGGCAAGACTGGCCCGTACGGGCAGGGGTACCTTTACCTTTTACCTGTTGTGTTGTGGCTTTGTGGTCAATATACTGCCATATTTTGCTAAATTTTAAATGGCAGGAAAGGACTGTATGCTGGTATACTGCCCCAATTTTGGTCGTTTGAAATTACACAGCAAATCTCCCGCCATTTTCCTGGATAACAGGGTTGAAGAAAGTGTGTGTGCGCGTGTGTGTGTGTGTGTGTGTAAGCAAATAACATGGAAATGAGCACTAAACTTCCACTAGTTTTCCAGAAGTGGTTTTTTACGTTGTGTGAAAGATCACATAACACTTGGAAATTATCAAGGAAGGAAAAATTGGTGAAACCAAAGAAGGTTGCTGGAACGCAACCTATATTGTATGTTGTGTTGTAATCTGCCCTGTGCTCATAGGGGGCACCATCAGGGGGTGGGGGAAACAGGGAGCCAAGGGCTTCCCCAAAAATTTTAAGGAGCGGGCCGGGTTTCCCCAAACTTCTGTGGCAGCTGTGCACACACACTGTGGGGCATGCTTATGAGCTGCAGAGTGTGCGCACAACATGTTAGCCCGCCCTGTAGCATGCATGCTTGATGTCAGCTTGTCCCACGGTGTGTGCGCACAGTGTGCTTACGTCACACTGCCCCAACCCCCTCAATCGCGGGAGCAAGGCGGCGTGCTTGCCTGTGCTCCAGTTTGGAGGAAGGGTAGAGTATAAAAACTATGAAGCAAACAAATAGTGCTTTGGCATATGGCATGGTGGGGAGAGCTATTTGATATGCCCAAACCCAGTTCTGCGTGAGAAACTAATGGCATGGTTCTTCGGAGCCTGGGCCATGTGGCTTCTCTGCAGGCCCTTGATGTTCTTCAGTGGAATTCATGAAAGGAGTTAGGAAATCCCTTGAAGTGGAATCTTAAGACTTCAGGACTCCATCAATGGCATAATGCAAATACACATGGAGTTCTCAGATGGAAAACTACTGGTGAAGTGAATTAAAAATGTGTTAGACTCCTGGGAAATTCCGTCCCATAATGTGTAAAAAGTTAAGGAGGGCTTCTCTCAGAAAATATTGACATTTTACAGAATACCTTTTTGAGGGGGAAATGGCCATTTCACATTTTTTAAAATTTCTTTCTCTGATTTATTGTATTTTAACCCTATTGGATAAATATATTTCTGAAAACAGATGTCAGATTAATTATGTCTTTAATTACCCCCATTAGATGTTTACACATATTTTTGGGGTGTTTTAAGGAGGCAATTTATATTAAAGCATCTGACTGATTTTTCTTCTGACAATGTAATTATATTTTTCTTTAAAAGATAAAGATTTGTTGACAATCTCTCGTTTCAAGCTTAAAAAAACCAGCAATCCTGAATTACTACTTTTACTCACATTATCCTTTTCATGTTGTGTCTTGAAATTATATGTGAAAGAGGGAAAGATAGGCTATGTCACCTTTGGGGCTGCAATCCCATAGGCACCTACTTAATTGGCAGTGAACCCCATTGAACTCAATAGGACTTACTTCTTTGTAGACAGGCATGTGTTGGATTGTACTGCCAAGCACACAGGACCCCATGGCTTGCGCTTTTCCTTCCATCCAAGATTTTAAGTCAAAGCCTAAATGATTTGCTTTTCATTCTAAGAGCAGCCTTCCCTCTATCTTTGTGTTTTGCCCCAAGAGCAGTTATGAAACCTTGTTTACAGCAAGGAAGCTGGGCACAATTTCTAAATGGGTCTATAGCTGTACATTGCTATCCAATTGTGTGTGTGTGTGGCAGTTTCTGGGGTTTCACTTGTAATATTAATGAGCTGTTAGAGAGCAAACAGTGCCTCCTTTGTTCCTATAGAAGATCCAGTCTGGGGAGGGCCGGAGGGTGAAGATTTCATGGGAGAGAGAAATAATAAATCTTTAAACTGAAATTTTCTGGCATGCTGCACTGGTCTGTGCCAGAGCTTTGAAGAAGAAGGCATAATCAGAAGCAGAGTTTCCCCACTCGTGCTAAATAATAAATCAGACACCCAAACAAGAGCCCCACATGGGTTAATGGCCTTATTTTCATGGTGAAATCTGCATGCATGTATCTAAGGCAGAGCCGGGATTGGCTGGCAAGCTCATTGCAGATCCAGGTGGCATATACTGACAGCTCCGGGTCACATGATGGCTATTAGGGCTTGCTTTTCCACTCATCTGGCTGAGCTTGTCAGCGAGGGTTGAACGCAGGCATCCTGCAGCTCCAAGGAATGTAGAAAATGAGAGGAGGGGAAAGGAGGGAGGTCGTGAGAGAGGAGGCTGCTTTGTTGTCTTTCTCCCTTCGATCAGTCTGAATTTCTGACAAGCGTGGACCACGGAGGTGCGGAATTGCAGCCGCAGCTGGCAGGAGACCCTGGTCATGAGGCTCAACCCATATCGGTTTCGCCAAAGGAGGAGGATAGATTAAACTGGCATGTACAGTCTGCATTGGCTGCCAAGGGGGCACTTAGCTCGCTGATGAATTAGATTGATCTTCTGTCCTCTGCAGTAATACCCCCGAGGAAACAAAGGAGCTGGAAAAAACAGGCAGTGTTTGCTGTAGTAAAATTCTGGACTGATCAACAGAATGGAAAGGCGGGGTCCCGGTTATGAAACTATAAGGCAGCGTTCATATGTGGATCCTTGGGCAAACGCGCAGATTCTGCTTCGGGGACCTGTTTCTTTTCTTCAAGGGTTTTTCCCTTCTCTCTTTTTGTAATCCTGCCTTTTAAGATTAAGGCTGCCCTCCTCGTCCTCGTGTCCCCCCCCCCCCGCCTCTCCTTTTCGTGCTACAGCATGGAACATCTTTTGTTTCAGTTAAATTCAGTCCTCTCGGTCTGTCACCTGACAGTCTTGTGGTTCTGGATGAATGTGGTTCATTTCTATTATTAACCTGGGTTGGCAGCTGGTCCTCCTAACAGGAGTTTATAGAGATTCCGAAAAGTGGAGCTTGCTTAAGGGAGAAAGATGCTTCCCAGGTATGAAATAAATACTATGATCTGGGCATTCTTTTCAGTGGCAGACTTGCTAAATAAATATGTGTATATATTTGAAGTTGTCCTATTTTATACTGTAGAAATAATTATGTTCTTGGAGGGGGGGATAGCTCTGTACTACACCACTATTTTAAAATGAATGTATATAATCTTCTGTTGTTTTTCCTAAGGCATTTTGTGTTGTAGTGAAAGATTATGAAATGGTGCCTGGAACACTGGTGGTTGTAACCCTAGTGGATTAATCTTGTTTAGGTGGGACTTCCTCCGTAATAAGGATTATTTCCTAAAATAATCAACTGGTGAAAGTTTATCTGCGTAAAGCTCATAGAAATTGGGACGGGTGCTTTTTTGATGGTATCTTTTTAAAAAACAGCTCCGCAACACACACACCTCACCATCTGAATTTCTAAGACCTGTTCAAGTTAAACCTGTTTAAATCCTATTAATTTGACTACGAGTCATTGAAGCACATGGTTCACTTTCCCATTTGAAATTAATGAAACTTAAAAAGTACTTAACTTTGGCTGGATAATGCCCCCCACAAGTTTTTACATTTAATATTAAAGCAGTAGAATCATCAGAGCATCAATATATGATTTAATTATACCTATCAAGAGCTGTTATATTGCTTTGAAAAACAGGGAAGAGGAAGACCTGACTATTGAAAATTTAACCTCAGAGCAAAGGGGGGGGGAGACTTGGATAGGTCCCTTAGTAGGGATGCAAAAAACCTGAATAGAGATCTGACTTTGAATCAAATTATCAAAAATAAAATAGGGACTAACAGGTGGGAGATATAAATGAAAATAAACTGAAGTTAGTTTCATTTGCAATCAGCCATGTAGAGAACAGCCAGAAGTTGAGGTAGAGGAGTGTCTAGAGGCAGCAAATAAGATCTGGGTTTTATTGCTATTCTTATTGCAGAATGCATTATTTCTTTCCATGTGGCAGTGGAATAGTATATGCATAGTCCAGGCTTCTTTGACCATAACTTGTGCATCTGTCTTTACAAATTGTTGCTAAGCTAATGGGCAAGTCCAACAGATCAGATTTTACACATGCACCCTAAAAGGCACAAGTGTAATAAGCTTGTGTAATATTAAACATTAGTTGGAAAAGATGGTACCACATTCGTAACTTTAGATTTATACATGTGAAATGCAAGAGTGGCCTGTATCCGGGCAGAGACAGGAGTTATGTCCTTCCCCATCATCACCTCTGCCCTACATAAAAATATCAAGCATTTTACAAGCCAATCTGAACTTTGGAATAAGACCAATTCATTTCTAGCCTTTAAAAAAAGTCTTCAAGAAGTGAAGCAGGATTCCTAGCAACCAGGTTATAGTTTTGCCACTGATTTTCATTCTCTTCCCCTAACTCAGTATTTCCCCCACAATTAACCAGACCTTTCTATGGGTGCTGAATTTAGCCACTGGCTTTGCAACTTTGATCCAGGCCTAGTTCCATCTCAGGAGAAAGGGGACACATGCCCCCTGCGACAGCTATCTCAGGTTGGGAGTCTTTGTGGTGCTGGAGAGAGTCACATTCCTCCTCCCTTGGAGGCGAGAGAAGATTGTTGAAAAGCAGTCGGGTCTCGCTAAATTTGGGAGGCTTCCCAGACATCGTGAGACTCCATATAGAAATTATTGTGCTGGCTAATGTTTCCTTCCTAGGTGATTGTTACAGAGTAATGACAATAAAGTGGAAGAGGTCTTAACCAGCAGGCACTGTGACTGTAAGAGTTTCAGATGAGGATAAAATGTCACCAATTGACTTTGTTCCAAGTCTGCTTTGGATTCTAACACTGTATAACAGTCGCCACAACTTTGCGTTATCTTGGCAAACATGGAACATAAAGCCACATTTGACAAGATAATAGCAATGCAGAAGTAGATTGGAACTTGCAGGGGAAGATTAGTTAGAGGGACAACCGAAAGCTTAACCTTCCTTTGTCCACCGATTCTCCCAGGCAAACGGGAACTATTTTTCCCAGTTCAGAGCCCAGAATATGGGCACACGGTAGCAAACCATATAGGGGCAGGGTACTTAACCTTGGTGAGCAGATTGTGGCCTGCAGGTCCTGATTCTTGCTGCCTCAGCATTTCAACGCAACCAACAACATAGGTCTTATTTATATCTCACCTTTCTATAAACCACATTTATATTCCGCCGTTCCTCAAATGCAGTCAAGGTGGCTGGCATGCACCCCCCCCCCTATTTTATCCCCACAATAACCCTGTGAGGTGGGTTAGGCTGAGAGGCAGTGACTGGCCTATTATCACCCAGTGATGTATATGGTGAGAGAGGATTCGAACCCTGACCTCCAAGGTCCTAGTCTGAGAGCTCTAACCATTGTATCACACGCTGTAGTGGCCTTGTCAATGCTGGGAGCTACAAATCCATTAGCAATGCTACAATCCTGTGCACAATTTAAGTCCTTTTGAGAGAAGTTGGATTTAAACAACATAAACATTTGTTAGTAACTACTGACATACTGTTATTGATGGTGAGTTTTGTCACTGTTTATTCCTCTCCCCTCCTTCATAGGAGGAAGTGTTCAATCCACAGGTCTCATAATCATCCACTGTTGGGTTCTAACCGATAATTTAGCAATCCCTGTGATATTCAACTCTTCCAGGTGCTATAGTGTTGTATTATTCCAGGCACAGGCAAACTCAGCCCTCCAGATGTTTCAGGACTACAACTCCCACCACCCCTGACCACTGGTCCTGTTAGCTAGGGATGATGGGAGTTGTAGTCCCAAAACATCTGAAGGGCCAAGTTTGCCTGTGCCTGTATTAATCCCATCTCAACCTCAGTTTGCCATACTTTCAGTCACAAATTCTACAAATGACCATTAACAAATGTGTAATTTCTAATCCTAAACCACCACCCCCATTATATTAACTTCTAAAAATCTACAGTGTTCCTAATTCCAACCCAAAGATCATCCTAACAGTAGCCTAATGCTGGCTGGTTTCCTATGCAGTGTAAATCATTGCACCTACATCAATATAATCCAAATGATAAATACTATAAGCCGAAGTGTAATTTGATCATTAGTTAGCAAGTGGATTGGATGTTTCCCTTGTTAAACAGTACTAGGTGCTTAGATGCATTATGTCACTTATACTTTCCATTGAGGCGAACAGCTTTGGTGACTCTTGGAAAGAGTCAGAGGGGCAAGGGTACCAGACAAATGGAGCAAGAACCTATTCCAGTGTGCTTTTGCCTATCAACATTCCAGAAAGGTGCTAACACGAAAGGCATGCAGAACAGATAAGATGGCATAAACTATAAATATCATTTGCGTAGATGTCCTTTAAAAATAGTTTAAAGTGATTCATCACCTGGCAGTTTTCATAACTTTAGTTAAGATATGCTGTTGGGAATAGTGGTTTGATAGCTTTATTTTATTTATTTTTTATTTTTTGGAACAGCCTTCCCCAACCTCCAGATGTCATAGACTTCGTTAGAATCATAGAGTCATAGAATTGTGGAGTTGGAAGGGACCCTGAGGGTCATCTAGTCCAACCCCCTGCAATGCAGGAATATCAACTAAAGTAGCCATGACAGATGGCAATCTAACCTCTGCTTAAAAACCTCCAAGGAAGGAGAGTCCATAACCTCCCAAGGGAGTCCGTTCCAGCTTGGAACAGCTCTTACTGTCAGAAGGTTCTTCCTGAAGTTTAGTCGGAATCTCATTTCTTGTAACTCAGATCCACTGGTTCAGGTCCTACCCTTCAGAGCAGGAGAAAACAAGCTTGCACCATCTTCCATGTGGCAGCCCTTTAGATATTTGAAGACAGCTATCATATCTCTTCTCAGTCTCCTTTTATCCAGGCTAAACATACCCAACTCCGTCAACTGTTCCTCATAAGGTTTGGTTTCCAGACCCTTGATCGTCTTGGTTGCCCTTCTCTGCACACATTCCAGCTTATCAACATCCTTCTTAAATTGTCCTTAATGTGAATGTTATATTTATCTTGAAATCAGACCATTGTAAAAGATCATTTACAGTGTGATCTAATGCATGCCTGTTCAGAAGCATGGTTGTATCCAAAGGACACAACTCTAAAATGTGTAATGGGACACTTACTAAGCCTAGACAGATTTAGTCATTTATTTTTATTGAATAAATTTCTATCCCACTCCTCCTCCCAAAGGAGTCCATGGCAGCAAACAAGTGATAAAAAAGAAAAGAAAAACTAAAACGTCTTTAAAACAGTTCCATTATAGATGCAGACTCAGAAAGAGCTCAACTTAAAAGGCTTGTTGAAAGAGAAAGTCTTTGGTAGGTGCAGAAAAGACAACAGAGATGTCTGTCTGATATTCAAGGGATGTCAAAGTCAATGTCACACAGCTAAAGGCTTGATTCCTAAATTAGGCAGGATGGAACTCCTGATAAGAGACCCTCACCTTCAGAGTGCAGTGATTGGCTATGTCAGCTCCCCATTAGGGAGGGGTTGCTTTGCGGGCAGGAACCAGGTCTCCATAGTGACCCTGGAGTGGGCGGAGATAAGCTGCCCACATCAGCAGGGTCCCCGGCCCAGGAGGCCCTGTTTCTTGATGATGGTGCTCACCTTTCTGACATGGCTCGATTGGCGGTTAGACATTGGGTAAGCCTTTTATGGGAGGGGAGGTTGTTGCCTCCACCTGCCCCTCCATGGTAAGGTATCCCGTTAAAGGGATCCGGGGGTGTGGTTCCTATCTGAAGCCTGGGCATCGGCTAGGGCCAAGACACAGCCCTAACGGTGACCCGGGGGGCCCCTCATTTGATGTACATCAGAGGGCTCCCCCCTTCCAGTGGTTAACCCTTCAACGAGACTTCCTGCAGGCTTGCAGCAGTCAGGTTATAGTCTTGCTTCGCCCAATTGCCTAAGCCAATGCCGCTCACTTCTGTAACCAATAAAGTTGTGGCCTTATTTATCCCATTAAATCAATATCCTTGTTTTCGTGGGTTTATTCCGGGGAAGCTTGGGGTCCGGGTCCTTGCCACGCAAATAAGGGGTGAGACGATCTTTCAGATATCCTGGCCTCAAGCTGCATAGGGCTTTATTTACCAAAACCAGCACCCTAAACTTAGCTCAGCAGCTAATTGGCAGCCATTCCTGATTTCTTTATGGAGCCTGTACGACCAATCAACCACATCATTTGTAATACTGAACAGTCAAAGATCAAGGTCACATCTGGTCCTCAGCTGATTGTGGAAGATGCTTAGGCATGAACAGGATGTTTCCCCACAGCTATTTAAAATGCATGGTGTACAGTGTCCTGAACACAACTTAAGCCATTCCAAAGTGCCTTACTGCCTGCAACCAAGGGAGAGAAAATCTAGGGCCTTTTGTTTTTATTTACTTCTTCTAATGTAATCCTTTATACTCATTTTCTGGTTATTATCTTTCACCTAATTACATACATTCAGCCCCTCCTCTGTTTATTGCACCTCTTGATCACTCTTACGATCTCAGCCTATGGGCAACAACAGTGTGTTGAGGTAGGGCTGGCAAAACACCAACCTATTTGTTAAGCAATTTAAAACCTAGATATTACACATTTGCAAAGTAGACAAAGTACTTCCTACACTAAGTATTTCCTACAAAGCAAACCATCCTTAAGGTACCCGGAAGGATCAGATTCTGGGCAGCCGTAGAGTGTTTTGCCGTATCTCATATCTTGCGTGTTCAAAGTAATAATAAAGTATACATTCCTCCAGAAGTATGAAATAATGTGACAATTTGTATAGGTACTGGATACAGTGATATATTTTCTTGGGTGGATCCATAGTTTTTAGATCCAAACAGTATAAACAGCTCATTAGGAGTCAAAATTCATTGAAGTTCACTCAGAATGTACAATTCATTTTGTTTCCCCCCCTTGAAAAAACAAAACAAAACAATGGTCTAGTCCAATGGCCCATTCAAGCACTTTTCTTCATCTTACCCATAAAAGAAAGACAAGCCACACAACACAGTAGTAGTAGTTAATAACCTAGCCATCATGCACAAAATGGTGCCTGATTCTCTAAAAGAGCCTTCCCCAACCTGCTGCCCTGCAGGTTTCTTGCACTAGAAGTCCTATGAACAACTTTGACAGTGGAACAGACTCCCATGAGAAGTTGTGGATTCTCCTCTCTTAGTTTTTAAGCAGAGGTTGGATGGCCATCTGTCATGTGTGATCTAGTTGAAATTCCTGCATTGCAGGGGGTTGGACTATACAATTCAGAGTTTCCCAACTTGGGTCTCCAGCTGTTTTTGGACTACAGTTCAAAAACTGACCACCGGTCCTGCTAGCTAGGGATGATGGGAGTTGCAGTCCAAAAACAGCTGAAGACCCACGTTGTGGGGAACTCTGGACTAGATGACCCTTGTAATTGCTTCCAACTCCCCAATTCTATGATTCATGGAAAATCTTTTTCACACATCTTATATCTGCAAAAATATATGGTTGGCTCTTGGAAGGATAAACGTGTGGATTCAATGTGCCTGTGTCTTATTGATTGTTGCACTGAACCTGTTCCCTGAGCTCGCCTTCTCCACTTTCTCTCAATCCCAGTTGCCAAGGAATATTTTTTGGAAGACATGTTATGTAACACTGATAATAGTTAGCTGGGTCAATCATGAAATGTAATTTATGAGACACACCAAAGCCTTTCAAGGATAGTTAAAATAGCATGTGCTCAGACGGAGGAGTAAACAGGTTCATTTTACCTTGATCAAATGTTGATGAATGCGGCTGGGTTTTTAATATATATATATTTAGCTCACTCTCCTCTTAGCACGTAATCTGCTCTTGGAGCTTTTTATAAGCAGACTTCCCTAAAGATCTGGAACACTTTCTGCTCTTCCTTGCCAAGCAGCTGTCAAGAGTCAGATGTCAAAATACTACTAAATGGAAACCATGTCTTAAAGAAAGAGGTGGTGGGCTTATTGCATATTAGGTAAATGAAAGGATTTGTTTGGGGAGGGTTGGTGTAGAGTTGTTGGTTAAATAACAATTGCAAGATGAAAACAATATGGGTTTAAATGTAGAAATGCCGCATCTATGCAGGTGACTTTAAGCACTGCATGAAATACCAAGCTAACTTCAAGTACGGATATATAAGAGAGTTTGGGCCACTTTGTATATATCAGGGATTATAGTTTAGGCGAGAATCTAAACATACGTTTTATTTGTTAAAAAGGTTTTCCAAGGTTATCTCAGCTTTACTTTCATTTGTTCTCTCTGGCAATTTCAGTATTTGAGGCCAATGTTGAGGAGTTGCAGAGTTTGCACCCCCATCGTGTAGGCAGCATTGGGGCCGCCCCTGTGGCCGACCCCTCTCTACCTCCCCTATAGATGAAAACCTGGCTCAGCCAAAAGGGTGTTCACAAACATCACTGATCAACTGATGGGCAGTGCCTGCCAAGCCCCTTTCAAAGCACTGCACAAAGAAGGGGTTTCTGAAGACCCCTTCGTGCAAAAAAGGTCACCTGGTATCATTGTGACATCAGGTAGTTGACACTCAGCAACCTTGGCCTGTAAGGGGTACAGGAGAGAACCATCCGCTCCAGTGCACTAAAAGGGCTCCCTACCCCTGGTTTTGCGTTTGATCTGGACCAGGGGCTGGCAAAGCTTTTGTGGCTTGGGCCGGTTCACGGTCCCACAGACGCCGCGGTGGGCCGGAGTGCTCACGCGCGCACACATGCACAAACACTATTTCTGGCGCGGAGGAGGCGTGTGCAGCTTCCCATCGGCTTCAGGAGCTTCCTGCAGCCAATGGGAAGCTGGCCAGCATCGCGGAAGGCAGTCCCCGCTCTGCTCTGCACCGGTTTAGCACGGCACACGGGAGCCGACCGAAGTTTTGCTTTTTTAAAGCATCTAATATTCCAGTCCCAGAAAGAGTATTTTTATTCCTTCTTTTTATAGGTGCAGGAGATGATTTCAGTGGCCTTTGTGCTCTTATAAATGTGGTGATAAAATGATATCTCAGATGTCTATGAAACAGGAACTGATTAGCCATGGCAATCCCGTGATCATGATGAACTATAAAAATCCAGAGACAAGCCAAAGCCTCCTGTAGCTTTCTTCCCCATAAACATTGCATTGTTCTCATCTGGTATCTCCCTTTCCACTAATAATAGTGGCGTTATACTAGGTGCTTTTTAATGCAAACATTGTAATCATACTCTGCATTGTGTATTGACTAGGATTAGAAGTACCTTTGATTTTTTAAAAAAGAAAATGTTGTAGCAAAGATTAATGTTCCCAGTCGAGTTACACCCATTTATTTATACCACTGTGCAAATTGGATGAAGAGGTTTCTCAGTTGATATATATTTACACAAATTAAATTTGCATTTTATGTATATTGTTGTTACCTGTTGTTACCCCTTAATAAAGCCAGTGAAACTTCTTTTAATAAACTCTCTTGTAAAAGCCATAGAGATAAGAAACTCTCTCTCACTTTTCCTCCCTATTAAAGCTGGCCTTTGCCGGAGTTTGATCCAAGTCAGATCCGACTAATTGTGTACCAGGACTGTGAAAGAAGAGGGCGAAATGTTTTATTTGACTCCAGTGCTAAGAGGAGAACTGAAGATGCATCCGCCTCGGTGAGCAATATTCACACTAGTATGACTGCCTTTTCCCCTCAACCCCCCTCCCCGAAATGCAATGCAAAGTTAATTCATGCAGGCTTCAATAATAAATTATTTGCATCAGTAGCCATGCTTTGAAAAGAGATATTCAAAATGCTACGTTTAAAAAGAGGTTGTGTTTGCAGTGCATTAGTGCTTCAGCTGTTCCTCCTAATTGCTTTACTGTTACAGCAGTCTCCTCTTTTTAACCTAGCCCTTTGTTATATCATATTTCCTCTCATAGGATCTCTCCTTTTCCTGTAGCTTTAGGAACAGCCTAGATCGTGAAAATGCCTTCTCTATTTATTCCCTTACTCGTCTTCTGGCAAGCCAGAATTTAATAAAGTTTGAAAATAATTCCAGTGAGGGTGAATCAGGTGTACTGTAGAACAGCAGAGAGGAACCTGTGGTCTTTCAGGTGCTGTTGGACTACAGCTCCCATGATCCCTGACCATTGGCTGGGTGGGGCTGATGGGAGTCCTATAACATCTGGCAGGGCACAGGTACCCCAGCACTGCTGTATAGATGATTATTAGGACACTTGCATGCTTGAGGGTTATGCATCGACCCAGTTTTCACGTAATGCTTAGCAAAAGTTGCGGCTTAGCACTGAGCCGGGGGAACTTCCAAACTGTGGGCCCACTTTCCCTCACAATGCTGTTTCCCCCAAACCACACCCGCCTGCCTTACCCCTGACATCATACGTGACATCAGGCAGGAGGCGGGGAAAGGTGTGGCCTGCACACTTGGTTCATGGAGCTTGTAGAGATAAAGATCTGGTCTACCAGGCTAAAAAACTTTTTGCGCACCTGAGCCTTAACATGAACAAGCAAATATGCAGCCTCCCAAAGAGAAGATTGTGGCTGCTTTGGTCCTGCTACCGCCACACTGCTGCGAGCTAAGCCATGGTTTGGCTTAGCATTGCATCTGAACCTTGATCCATTGTTTATCTTGCCCCCAGTTAAATCACAAACTGTAGCTAAGGTTTGTTTTGTGGCCTACCACTCCTTGTTTTCCTGAGGAAGATGAACCATGAGCCTGGGTTTGGACATAATGCTAAGCCAAACTAGCTTAGCTCACACCAACTCAGCAGCAGCAGGACTGGAGGAAGAGTGGAGCAGGTATGGTCACATGGGAACTCATACATGTGTTCAAGCTCAGCCATGGTTTGGCTTAGTGTTAAGTGTGAACCAGATTCTGTCTCTCCTCCAATCTTCTCCCTTATACCGGCATTTCTCCCCACCCGTTATTTGATCACCCCACCACCCCTGTCTCATCAGCTTGGGAAACATTGAATCTATTACTTGGATGTATAGATAGATCTTTTAAAGAAAGAAAAAACTTTTAAGGGAGGTACTGAAGAAGTGTGGAAATGTACTGTACTATCTCACAAGCATACCTGAAGGAGTGTCTCCACCCCCATCGTTCTGCCCGGACACTGAGGTCCAGTGCCGAGGGCCTTCTGGCAGTTCCCTCGCTGCGAGAAGCCAAGTTACAGGGAACCAGGCAGAGGGCCTTCTCGGTAGTGGCGCCCGCCCTGTGGAATGCCCTCCCACCAGATGTCAAAGAGAAAAATAACTACCAAACTTTTAGAAGACATCTGAAGGCAGCCGTGTTTAGGGAAGCTTTTAATGTTTAATAGGTTATTGTATTTTAGTGTTTTGTTGGAAGCCGCCCAGAGTGGCTGGGGAACCCAGCCAGATGGGCGGGGTATAAATAATAAATTATTATTATTATTACTACTACTACTACTACTACTACTGGGGATTCCAATGATGGCATCTCTTCACATGCAAGGCCCCGGGCCTTAAAATAAGTGTTAGCCACATACTGAGCCCTTTTACCTGTAAGTAACTGCAGAGTACATTTCTGAAGCGGAGACATTATCTCTTTGTAGACAGTGAAGTTGTTATATTTCATCTCTTAGCAAAGTGGCAAATGACTCCTTCACTTGACGGCATACACAAAGTGCTAGCTGCATCCCACGGCACTTTTGCCCTTTGCAAGAAAACACTGTGTGGGACAGACGTTTTCTCACTGTGAAAAGAGCATCTGTTAACTGCGTTTTAGAATTCAATGCCTTCTGCCTGTTGACCCCCACATGTCTCAGCATGATTTATAGCTCCTGGCCTTCTCCAGTAGAGTGTCGGCTTTGTTGGCTTAGGAACATGGAAGGTTTGGACTTGAACAAAGCTGTCCACCATAACGGGTGGAGAATCAGCTGATTTTCAGAGCATGTAATTGTGTAGGGTTTGCCCGCCCACAGACACACACGAGAGGGCTATGTCCTCTTCCCTACTCCTGCTGGAGTGAAATTTCTCGCTTAGAGGGACACATGGCCTCAGGAGAAGGCCAGGCAAAAGAAAGTTAGACCTGCAATATATTGCCTGTCAACACTTCTTGATAACAAACAGTTCTGCTGCAAAGAACACTACTGTGGCAGTCAAAGCATGCGCTGTACCTTTTAAATGTCGGCATGTTTCAAAAGGCAGTTCCATGTGCGCAGAATGAAAATATCTCTTAAGATCACAAACGTTTACATAGACGTATGACCAAGAACGGCTTCTAATTTCATCTGGAGTGGCTACTCCTGACTTTCTGGGGCCTGCGCTGTGAATTGCTTTGACACAGAGTTACAATATCTCTGCCATCCTGGTCAGCCTCCTCCCAAACTGGTGCCCTCAAGATTTTGCTGGACTACAACTCCAAGCATCCCTGAACATTGGCCAGTCTCCAGGTGACTACCTGCTGGTTCATAGAATCATATAATTGTAGAGTTGGAAGGGACCCTGAATATCATCTAGTCCAACCCCCTGCAAGGCAGGAATATGCAACTGTCCCTTACAAGGATCAAACCTACAGCCTTGGCAATATCAGCACCATACTCTAACATTCTGAGCTATCCAGTCTGGTTGCTGGAATTATTGTCAAGAATGCTAGACAATGTGAACCTTAGTCCGTAGCTGTCAACCTTCCCTTTTTTTGCGGGAAATTCCTTTATTCCAGCACTGTTTCCCGCTGCTATCCCAGATTGTTAGATATCTTGTAGACTGTCCCCGGGATAGGTGAGGCTGCTGATCCCTTATTTTCAAATCTGAAAGTTGACAGCTATGCCTTAGTCTGATCCATCTAGCACGGCTCTTACAGCCTTAAGCATGAATGTTGTTGTCAGTAGTAGCAGCAGCAAGAGCATCATTCATTTATTCAGTGAACAGAGTACTGTACAATAATCCCTGCCCCCCCAAGTGCTTACAAACTAATTTTCAACACAGAAAAGCAGCAGAAGAGAAGGAAAAGTGGAGTCAGGCTTAAATAAGGAAGGAACATGTAATACTTTCAGATACATTTACAAAGCTTTCACGGAAAAGGTTGGTTTTGGGAAGGAATTTGAAGGAAGAGTGGTGGCACCATTAAGGTGTTTGGGAGGCTAGACAGGATAACTAAACACTCATCAGTTGTGCTTTATTATCAAGAGACCCTGAACAGGTATTTTTGTTTTTTACATTTAAGATACAACATTAGACCATAGAGATTCATGGTTTGGGGGCTTTAACCTTGAAAGATTGAAGTCAGCCCATCCAACATCAAGGCAATGAATTATGCATGTCAGAAACATTCTTAGGCAACCTATCAATCATTAATAAACCCTTTATTTATAAACTGCTACTTTTAAAATGAACATTATGAAATTAAAACTCCTGCCTTCTGTTAGATGCATGTATTTTTCAGGTCTGGGCAAATCTGGTTTGTATAAATATTTGTTTATCTTTGTCTCATGAAAGTGTTACTGGCTTTTGTTTTGTTCTGCCTTTTTGGCTGTAATTCATAAACAGTTACCAGAAGCAGACTCAAACCCACCTACGTTATCATCCTCCAGGCAAAAGGAAAAAAAAAAGAGTTTAGCAGTCCAGACATAAGTAAAAATGAGTTTAAATTTGCCATTTATATTCCTCCTTTCTCTTTGCAAACTCTCAAGGCAGCTTACAAACACAACAGCAAAACAAAAAGCAGTTTTATGTTAGTGAACATTTTGATTTCTTGTGTGTGTTTTATGCTTAATCACGAATCAGTGAAAGGTGGGGGGTAAATTGAATAAATGAATAAAATATGTCATTAATGACTGGCCTAAGTCCATATTCAGGGCACAAGTCAGAGGTCATGCCATGGTCTAGGGCAGGGGAGGTCCAGAGGGCAGCTATTTTATGTGGCCCTCCAGCCCCCATCTTCCTCTCTACCTCTTCAGTAGGTTGGAGGAGAGGTTCCCTTCACCCTGGCACTGTGATGCAGAGGGAAATTGCCGTCTCTGCTGTTCAAGGATTGGCTGCCAAAGCCCAGGTGTGGTTTTTGTCCTCCATATTGTCCTCTCTATAGCAAGCCTAACACTGTGATGGGGATGAATGTGGTACATGTCTGCTGTGAGTGAGTGAGTGAGTGAGAAAGAACCGTGTGGCTGTATTTGTGTGTAGTCTGCATTTGTGACAAGGGGGAGGTTATATGCGCTATGTGTTTGACAATTGTGGTGTTTGTGTGCGAGAGGGAGTTATTTGCAGCAACTTGGGCCATGACTGTTGCTGGTATGCAGAGGGTTAATCAGTCTTCCGTGTGGCCCCTGTGCCAAGAACCTTAAGCTGGAGATGTTAATGGAAGACAGATGGGCCTACAGCAAGGTGATAGGTTACAGCAAGCTTGTAGTAGAAAGTGCCAATGGGCTGACATTTGTTATTGGATAGCAACAGTGGGAATGCTTAGTGGATGCTTAGAGATATTCTAGAAGGGGGACTTGATCCAGATAGTAAGGTTAGGCATGGGAAGGAAGAAAAGGGAGGATCTAAAACAGAGGGGAAAACTACTGAGATGTAGTAGAGAAGGGTTGACTTCAAGCTGTGTGGATGAGGCAACACTTAACAGAGTTTGAACATGTTGAACACTCTGTCAACCTAAGCACTGAGTCGTAGGCCATAATTTTAAGCAGATTAATCGGATGCTTTGCAGTGATGGTTGTGAACACTGTACACCAAACACTAAATTACTGATAGGATCAGAAATAGGATATGCTGGCTGAGTCCTTTACCTTTAGGCGACCTGCCTGAAACCAAGACTGCTCCCTTGTAAGGTTTCGGTTTCTGGAGAACAAAGAATAGCCACTGACATTGACCTCTTTGGCTGCCGAAAGTGCACAAGGACAGGGTCTGGCCTCAGAGGAGAGCCTTGAGGTCAAATAGCGGAGCTAACCAGAGTTAGAGTTCCCAGCTGTGTAGAAATGGAATCGCCAGCAAGCCTCCTTGTGCTGCTGCTTCAATGGGCACGGCAGATGGTGCTAGCAGGACGGTGCCTGCGGGGTTTATTTATGGCACATGCGTGCTCTTCTTGGGGACAGGGATTCCAAAATTCTTTTATGCTCTGCACTTATTCTGTAATCTCTTTTACAATGTTGGAAGCACGACTTGAGCTATGCCGGGAACACAAGTCGACCAGTTCCCTTTGTTGCATAATATCTGGTGGCTTGTTACATCTTGTATTTCATTGACATTCAAATCCGAAAGAAAACCTCACACAGGAGCAGGGACACCTCAGATATTTGATCTAGGTGTCCGGCAGGTTACTCTTCAGCATATGCTGGGTTCTAAAATTGCACGTCTTAAAATTTGTCTGCGTTCTGCATTTTGCAAATGATTTGCTTGCTGGCAGACTGCTGACAGTTGGCATCCAAAAGATTGTGACCATTTGACCTCTTTTTACCACGGGATCCTTAAGTTCATTGCATTCTACTGTAAAGGCCAAAGGTATAATCTTCCATAGTGTTTGAATCAGGAAATGATCACTCTTAAGACATTGTGTTCAGCTGTGGCTTTGAAGAAAGCTGTGTAGGAAGCTTATAAGAGGTTCGTGCATAGACTTGATTAGTTAGCTTGAGGAAAATGTTTTGCCATCATAGGAATTCTCTCTCATATTCATTCATATATATATTAAGCATATATATATATATATATGCTTTGCTACCAAGTGTTATTAAGAAAACTTTCAACATCAGCTGAAAGCTGCAGTGTGACTTGCCTGCAAAAGATGTTGTAACCCTGTGGACTCGGTGTGGTTTTATCACATGATGCTGTGCCTAGCCCAAGACGCTGTTGTTTATCAGAGATAAAATGCAATTCTAGTTCACGGGTTTCTAGTGAAGTCATATGATTGTCATTCACATGTTTTCAGCCATTGTCTGCCAAAAAAATTCAAGGCAGTAGCAATTCTAACTCTGCACGAGTTCAGCATTGTCTCTTTAATGATCAGCTTCTCATAATGGGAGGTTGTTCTTATGAAAAGAAATGAATTCTTGTGCTGCAGCCATAAGAAAAAGGGAGTTCTAGCTGGCTTTGCATAGGCTAGGTTGGCTGCCATAAGATCAGTACTGAGAAACCCTGTGGCTCTCCAGAGGTTTTGGACTACAACTTCCATCAGCCTCAGCTAGCATGACGAGCAGTCTGTGATGATGGGAATTGTAGTCCAGCAACAACTGGAAGTGCACAATTGCCACCACATTTGCTTTAGATATTAACTTCTTTACCTTCCAATAGTTCTCAAAATAGGAGAACTGCAGTGCAAACTGCTGGGGGGGGGCAGAGGTAAGCTGCTGAGTGAGGGGGCCCTTTTTCCTTAAAATATTTCTTTGCAATTGCAGTCCCCATTCTCATAAAAATGTTCTGTTCCGGTGTTTGCAAAATCTATATCACAGGGAGAATTTTAGGTGATGATATGATGAATAGCTGCACCTGTGGGTCTCTGAAAGCAGTCTGATTTCATGGGATTTTATTGTTTTTACCCCAAACTTAAATATGGAAGAAAAACGAAACCTTCCCAGGTTTTGCATATTTGTCCTTATTGAAATTCATTTTGTTAATTTGGACCCAGTTCTCCAATCTGTTAAGGTCATTTTGAATCCTGATTCTGCCTTGTGCGGTGTTAACTACCCTTCCCAGTTTGGTGTCATCTGCAGATTTGATGAGCGTCCCCTCAATTCCTTCATCCAAGTCATTTATAAAGAGGCTGAACAACAATAGGCCCAGGACAGAACTCTGGGGCACTCCACTTGTCCCTTTTTTCCAGGATGCCGAGAAACCTTTAGTGAGCACTCTTTGGGTTCGTTCAATCAACCAGCTACGGATCCACCTAGCAGTAACATTGTCTCTGAATCCTCTGAGCCTAATTCCCCATCCCTTATAGAACTCAGGTTGAAGAAAACCAAGTGAGAATCCACAGCCGACATGCAGGACAGCAACTACACATACAGAGGGAGTGGTTATGCATTTTGATATCTGTGAGGTAACAAAGGATGAATTAATACAGACTTCTCCTTAGAATTTAGAGCTCACTTTTATCTTCCACATTTGAACACCATTCTTCCTTTGGAACAACTTCACTCCTATGTTTAAATATATAAACACTGATTCCTGCATTGCAGGGGATTGAACTAGATGGCCCTAAGGTTCCTTTTCACTGCTACGGTTCTGAGATATGATTTATGAAATGTTGAACATTGGATTTGTGTATTACACATCTATCTCCAAAGCAAAAAGATAAGACTTATTGAAATTATTCCAATTTTGCAAAACGGTTGGCTTAGCTTCCAATCTCCATTCTTTCACTAATGCTAAAATGCTTGTGTTCATCTCGCTATTTTTCTTTTTCTATGCCCCGGATGCAGGTGATCTGTACTCTCAGAACACTGTTTTGAGGATTACTAAACGCAATGTAACAAATACAATTTTTACTCCACCAGAAACTCTGCAGTGATGCTCAGGTGAAAGTCATTGGGAAATGTTGCCAGCTCAAACCTGGAGGGGACAGCTCTTCCTCTTTGGATAGTTCAATTAATTCGTCTTCTTCCTCTTCCGAAGCAAAAGAACAATGTCCAAAATTTCAGGTGAGAGGTCCCTCTTTTAACTGTATCATGCTGGCATTGCGACTTGTATTGCATGTTTGAAAACATTGCCTTATTAGGAAATGGCTTGGGCTCCTGATGGAGGGAGTGAGCCCGGAAGCCATTCTTTGGTGGTTGTCCAACAAAACAGATGGCTGTTGTCATGTAGGACTGCAAAAGGAAACTATCAGAATATCAGCAGGATGAATGTTCCTACAAGTGGCTTATTTGAAAATCATTCATAAAGAACAATGACCAATGAGCCACTAAGAAACCTGGGGCAAGGATGTACCAAACAAATGTGATAGTATAGATCAGTCCCTTCCTCTCCTTGTCCTCCAACAAAGATGAAACAATTTAACCAGGAAACAGCTGAAAATGCAGTTCCCCATTCTAACAAAGGCCCAGGGGATGGATTTACATATGTGGCCAGCCACCCCACAATAAGTTGGCCCATTTCTAATTTTTGTTCCAGAAATGTGCGGCATGGATTCAGTTTTCATACAGGCTAGTGACAAAAATCCTCTACTTACTTTCAGATGTTTGTGATTAACGCTGAAGTTTTAGCTTTCTCATGAGTTGTGAAAATACTGTTCAGTCAAGATTTCCATCCGAAATATTAATAATACAGGTTTTCTTAGAGTCAGAATCCGAATGGGACCAGGAATCCCTCTCAACTTAGTTTTTGCCAGTCTGCTTCAAATCCCTGCGACAGGGTGAGCTCCCGTTGCTCTGTCCCAGCTTCTGCCAACCTAGCAGTTCAAAAGCAGGCCAGTGCAAGTAGATAATTAGGTACCACTGCAGTGGAAAGGTATATGGCATTTCTGTGCGCTCTGGTTTCCATCATGTTGTGCCAGAAGCGGTTTCGTCATGCTGGCCACAAGACCTGGAAAGCTGTCTGTGGACAAACACCAGCTCCCTCGGCCTGAAGCAAGATTAGCGCCGCAACCCCATAGTCGCCTTTGACTGGACTTAACCGTCCAGGGGTCCTTTACCTTTACCATCCTAAAGTGCTTCCTTTAACTATTTTGTAAAGCCTTATTCTGTAGGGCTTTTTTTTTTTTGCTTTTTAATGTCTTGAAAAGCAATTTTAAAACATTCAACTGCAAATTTTTGCTTGCTGGCAGTTTAAAATGCTTATGGCAGTGGCACTCATTGAACTTGAGTTACACTTTATATAAGAGGGGAGGTTTTGGCCACCAGTGTAGCCCGAGTCATCTGACTGGGTATATTTCTGTCATCTCACCTTGCACTGATCACAAGTGTTTTCTGTTAAGCCTTCCTAAAATAGAGCTGAGCCTTTACCCTTTGTACTGAAGTAATTCTCTGTTTTAGAGTGGCTGATCCCAACATAACATATTCTCGGGGACGTCTTTAATGTAATGTAATACTAGGCTGCCAAGCTTTAGTAAGCATACATTAGTTGCTGCATTTCATTGCACAGACGCACAGATGCTCACCCACCCACACACAAGGTCATGCAACTGATTTTTATATTGTGTTATTGCGCCTGAGAACGAAGTTTATATTTATCTCTCTCCTCATCATGGAAGAGTATTTTGCTGTGGTTTGGACAGGAAGAGACATGGGTTTCTTTGAACAACATTGCTCTTGCACAACGAGAATTGATCCCCAGAGTTGAGGATGCTAGCTTGTTTATGTTCAATACTGGGAGGTTTCCTCACAAAATCTAGCACAGGTAGCATTATCTGACATCATACTGTGCACGCAGTTTTGAACAGGCAGGTCACATGTCCTTAGCATTATAATACTTTGTGAGAGAGGGAGGAATTAGAATCTGCTTGAAGGTAACATGAATGAAGAAATAAGGGGTGCCTGGTGCAAAGTTGATGATGCTTCCCAAACTGGATGCTCACTAGCTGCTATGAGCTGCTTCCCAGAAATCATATTTCCCCCCTAATCAATAGGATAATCAGTTTTGTTAAGATTTTAAAGTTTGGTATTTGCTTTAGGATATGAGGCAACCTGGAACAGAAGTGGTGCCCTCTTCCCTCACCCCTGGTGAGGAACAGAGATCGGGCAAGGCAGTGATGAGACTGGGGAATGCTCCCCCAAATTCATCATCACTTTATCTCACCCCATCCCAGCAAGCACTGCCACAGTGCCCCCCACCCCCTATGCACACTGCTCATGCCTGGAGAATAAAAACTACATTGTGAAGAATTTCAGCATTGTAGAAATGTCACGTGACTGTTACATGCCAATATCCTATTATAAACAACAGGCATTTTTAAATAAGATAATACATTTGACTCAAGGAATTATTTTGTTCTCAAATTGTCATTGCCTAGAGTTGGATCTCGTTGCTGTCTAGTAATCATTTGAGTTTTTACATTGTAGCTATTTTTCTTGTACCTGGTTGTGTACAAGATTTTGGTCATCTTTGACTGCTGTTTTGTGGGGGGGGGGGAGAGGAATTTCCAGCCATAGCAGCTGAAAAGTGTGTGTGTGGGGGGGGGGGTTGAACGAAGCCCCGTCTTCCACATACCTTACACCAGGGGTCAGCAAACTTTTCCAGCAGGGGCTGGTCAACTGTCCCTCAGACCTTGTGGGGGGCAGGACTATATTTTTTTTGGGGGGGGGAATGAACGAATTCCTATGCCCCACAAATAACCTAGAGATGCATTTTAAATAAAAGGACACATTCTACTCATGTAAAAACACGCTGATTCCTGGACCATCCGTAGGCTGGATTGAAGAAGGCAATTGGGCTGCATCCGGCCCCTGGGCCTTAGGTTGCCTACCCATGCCTTACACTAATAGTATAGGGACTAATTTTCCTCAGTCCACAATGCAGTCTGCTGACAAGCTTCTGAAATACACTGCTGAGTCAGATCAGCATCATTGCTTCTGAGGTGTGATGCAGAAGCATGTGATGTGCTTCTACGCAAACCTCTGCTGCTCTGATGATATAGATGGATGGGTGAAGTACTAGGTTCCTTCCATTAAATTTGTTGCATGGGCTCATGTAGTTCTTCCATAATTACTTCATTGGACTAGCATGGGATGTGATCACAGAAAAAAATGTTCACTTGCTATGGCTGTAGTCTATAAATTAAGCTTAAGATAACCAATTTCGGTTTTGGGTCTTGCAGAGGAAAACAGCTGAAATCAGTTACGGATGACATAAGAACTTGGATACTTGCGTCCATTGTTTTGAAATTTAATAATCGCCAAGACCAGGCTTGTAAATGTCTAAAGCTTCATTTAAGCCTACATTCTATGTAAATTTCACTTTTAACCTGAATCACAACATCCTGCATGTCTAAAACTCTGCTATTGGTACTTGTCAGCTTAACAGGTCTTCCCTTGCAAGTAGTCCCTGCATGATAAATTTTTCCGTCCTCTTTATTTTTGTTCTACATGAACATCTGTTTAGGTAGTTTTCTTTACTAAACTTATTAAATCATTGTTTAGTATGGGATTTTTCCCCCTGCCAGAAAAGACATTCCAAGCTCAGCCTTTCCCACTCAAGGTTTTTTTAAACTAACAGCTGCTGTGAGATTCTATGGCTATAGTCTTAAAAATCAATATTATTGGAGACCTCACACTGATCTACATGCAAGTCTATGTTTTGACTGAGGTCTTTGTCAGGGTCATCTTAATAATTAAGCACAGCTCCAAAATGTGAATAGCATGCTTTGAATTGTGGTTGATATTAGTTGCCATTTCTTCTCCCAGTTTTGTTTCATTGAATACCACATTTTTAAAAATTAGAATATATTTCAGATATGGTGGAAAAACAACCCAGGTGCAGTATAAGCCTTTTCTCAAACCCACTGTCCTCAAGAAAGCAACTCCCCCATCCTACCAGACCCATTGATCGCTGTAAACATTTACAGGAAACTCCCTGTTTGTGTGTGGGTTGCCTTCTGGGTTGGCAGAGCACAAGTAAGCCCATTCTGCCCCATTCTGGGGCCAAAAATGGTGCATGCGCCAGAAGTTTCATCAAGAAAGTATACATTACCCTGTGGAATGACACCTTTAACTGGTGCCAAATAATTGTACTTCCTTTTTAATCAGGTGTTAAATGTGTGTGAAACTCCAAGCCCTAATATTTTAATGCAGAAGCTGCCAATTAAAGATTAAGAGCAGATTGAATGCAGCGAATTAAGGTGTTCAACTAATTTGTCCTATCTTTTTGTACTATTCTGCATAAATCCTTCATGGGTTTTAAAATGTACATGTGGCTGGAGAAAAGTATAACAAAGTATAACAAAAGTAGTAATGAGGTCATTTGGTGAAGGGCCAGTTCCAATAGGCTCCACCCCAATCCAGTTGCCTTCTCTGGCACTAAAACAGAGGAGGGGGACATGTTTCAACCCCCCCTCCCCACTTGCTTATATGCTGGTTCAGGATGAGTAGTAGGTGAGTACACAAACTGAGATCATACCCCGGTGCCAAAAACGTAAGATCAGCAATGGTGGGTGGGTGAAAGATGCAGATACAGGAGAATTGAATCATAGCTATACAAAGATTATTATAGGTGTCATGTGCATTTACCACAGAGTGACAAATGCCTAACCACTCTTTAGATCTGTAGTGCAAACTGCACAAGATATTGATCACATCATTTCCCCCAGGTGCAAGGTTTTCCTTGCAGAAATAGTGAGCACAGTCAATCCAGTCTCAAACAGGATCCTGGCCTGGGGCTTTTTTTTTTTTTTTTTTTTTTTTGGCAGGGGTTGTTGTACCCTGCTGTGCTTCCAATCTGAATTGGCTTGCAAACCTCATGGAGAAAATTCCCACTCACTACAATGAGAATGACGTACCATGTACTTTGGCATTGAAATTTAAAAGTATTTTGGTAGGCAACCTGCCAAAAATGTTGCATTTCATTTCCCCCCTTTATTGTATTTGATTATTAAATGAAAATGATGTTTTCCTTCATTTCTACAATGCTTCAGTTTGGTGCTCAAAATGATCAAGCACGCAACATAATAATTATAGGCTTATTCTTTTTCAGGGTTCCCGGTGTTCCTCAGATGCAAATATGCTTGGGGAGATGATGTTTGGCTCTGTGGCTATGAGCTACAAAGGCTCAACCTTAAAAATCCATCAAATCCGGTAAGGTTTTACTTTCTTCAGTTTGAAGTTTAGAGCACTGGAAATAGCTATTCTAAACAGAATTGTCTCTAGTCCTGTGCACACAATCAAACAATATAGAAAGCGTGTTGAGAAAGGAGATGAGAACAAGTTTGCAGGCCTCGCCCCTGTTCTTTATGAATTGTCCTTTGTACATAGATGTTGAAGCACGAAATTGAAGTACCTTGATTTTTACAAGGTACAGGCTGCACATTCAACACCTGTGTACTTTGGGGTGCACACCTGCAGGCATCTGAATGCATCTTCTGATCAAGAAGTGGAAGATCTTCTTGCATTGCAAAGGGAAAACAATGAAAATTCATATAGCCTTTTTTATTTTCACAACTTAAACAAAGGAGAAGATCCCCAGGTGTATGAGAATTAACAGATGAGATCACAGGAACCCCAAAAACAATGAACATGGATATGTAAAAACGAACATGGATGTATAAAAGCAAACATGAATGATAGCCACTGTTGTAACTGTTGTGTGACAGTTACAATTTATCTAAACCTCTCAAATGTTAGGTGAATTCTACTGGATTGCATCCTGTGTCATACTTCATCAGAAACAAAAATGGCGAATTTTTCACAGTTGGCAGCTGGAGTGTGTGTTGAATTTATCTGATTTGGCTGAAAACTGACAAAACTGTTTTTGACAAATTTACGTTCTGAGCTTTAATTGGGTGCCTCATTTGTCTCTGTAGTATTGTGGTCCTCCTGTAGCGTGTTATTTTAAAACCGTTTTTCACTTCAAAAACACACTCCGGTGTTGTGTTATGTCGAGAGATGTTTTGGTATATTCCATGAAAACACCTGGTTGCTCACTCTGTCTAACTTTGCTTCACAGCTCTCCTCCGCAGCTCATGCTAAGCAAAGTTTTTACAGCTCGAACTGGAAGCAGCATCTATGGAAGTTTAAACACGTGAGTACAATCAGTGTGTGATCTGTGTGGGTTTTAGGTATGAGGAAGGGAGGGAGTGGGGTATGCCTCAAACTCTTTTTAGCTGCTGAAGGAAAGATTGTCACCTAGCTCCTGTTTGCTCAGAGACCCCTGCCTCGCTGTCATAGGACATAAGAGTGGGGGGGGGAAGCAAGGAAATGTGTGTAGGGCACAAGCAGAGATAATAATAAAATCAAAAAGTACCGTAACAGAATACAAATAACCGTTTCTGTTTGTCCCCTCCCTTTGCAGGCTTCAAGACAGTCTTGAGTTCATTAATCAGGACAGCAATACTCTAAAGCCAGACCATAGCACAATTATGAATGGACTGCTTGGAAACATAGGTAATTAAAAGCGTTGTGACTTCCTTGGAATATTTGCACCGTAAGGCCTTTGCAGACTGATAAACACATTAATCTACATGTGTATAATAGAATATCATTGTTTTAAAGAAACGGTGTGGTCTAAGAGTGGGACAACTTTTGGCCTGAACTCAGATGTAGCTCATTTCCAGGAAATCTGAAAACTGGAATATTCTGTGACTATTTGGCTTGAAGTTTATCAGTTCAAATCTATATATGGCGAAGAAAGGCATAGTAGCTGATACACAATTTAAGCTAATATGAATTTGATGGAAATGGACACGGTAGGCTCTACTTTAGAGAACTAAGCACAGAACAGCACAGATATTATTTCCCCTTAGGGCCTCATTTATTCTCAGAATTTTCTGCCTGTAGTCATAAAAATCAGGAGCAGCTGGCACAGCGAGGCTATTTTACAGAGCCACCGTCCAAACATCAGCATCACTGCTGCTTGCTGGTGCAAGGCAGTGGCGAGATTGGTGCTGTGTTAGTGCACCAGGGGGAACACCAGCCCTGACCTCACTGATTCCCTGCCCAACCCCAGCAACACCTCACCCTGTTCCTGATAAAAACAACGTAATATGTGCTTGCAACAAATATACATTTTACAATGGGTGTGTCATACAGGAACGCACATCAGGAAACCAGTGGTGGTAATTATGATTGTTGCTGCCACACAATTTGTGAAATGGCCTTCAGTCTTTGGGACTGAAAAGTGCAGAAGCAGGAAGACCTAGCAGGAAGAGAAAGTTGTTGTACTTTTCGCAAAAATACCTGCAGGATGCAAGAGGGTTGACTTTTTTTGCTTTTGTGATTTCCTTCTTACCATCTTGAAGACGGTTATGGAAGTAAGATGGTTTCAAGGAGATGGTACCTTGGGCTTAAAGCAGATGGACAGTGTGGTCTGGCTTCTTTAAATTTGGTGCAAATCAGGCATATGCAAACTCGGCCCTCCAGATGTTTTGAGACTACAGTTCCCATCATCCCTGACCACTGGTCCTCTTAGCTAGGGATGATGGGAGTTGTAGTCTCAAAACATCTGGAGGGCTGAGTTTGCCTATGCCTGGTGTAAATGCACCTTTGTATTAAATAAATACAAAGGATTGGGCGAAACATGCTCAAGTCTTGAGAGTTGTTTTAAGATTTGCTTTTGCATAGCCATTACCTTTCAAATCATATACAAAAAATGATGTTAAGGAACCCTTATGGTTAAACATGCCAGGAAACTGTACTTCGCTGATGCAGAATGTTAAGATCTATTTTAAAAGAAAGGGTACCTTATCCAAACAGTACCTTGACCTGAAAAGTGTTTGTTTTTTATTTACCTGATATATTCACCCATCCCATTAATTAGAAATTAACCAACAAAAGAGCTACTGACACATAACCCTACATGTACACCATATACAAGAATATAAGTTTCACCACCCCACCCCTCATCTCCCACCTCTCTTCTTCCCCAACCTTATACTGAATACAACACTAATGTCTCATATCAAATGATCTGTAGAAATTGATCTGTAGAAAAGAATTTACAACTTAGGGGGGGAAAGACAATGTATGTACTTTTGTAAACCAAGAAAATCTTTAATATTTTTTAAGAGCCACTGGTTCTAAATATACATGAACTGTATTGAAAATTCTGTCTGTCTTACTCAGTTTTGCATCTCCTTAATTTCTCTATTGGAATTGCAATGTGAATTTCCTAAACTGAATGTGTGGCCTCCGAGGCTACAACTGAAAACTGGAGTAACCAGAACTGTCTATGGACTCTATAAGTAAATTTTGTTAATGATGTAAGTCTGAATGAAAATCTAAATGAGTTATTCAGGTAATAAGCACCTACTTTCACATTTGGGGGAAATATTGAATATTTGTATGCTGTATTACAGGAGGATTTTTGCGCGGCATACTATTTGAATGTTATGTACGCCTTTTCCATTGCCACTTTAGAAGGACAGCAATGAAATGACCAATTAAATGAACTTTGGTGTAGGGTAGTTACTGAGAGATTGAGTTTTGAATCAGGAAGTGGCTGGTTTGAATCTTGACTGTCATTAATTCACTTGGTGACTGTAGGCAAGCCACCTCTTAGCCTCAGTATCCACTTCTGCAATATGGGGGTAATACTGCTGAAGTTAAAGAATGCACATGAAGCATTGTGAAGCACATTTGGAAGGACTATAAAAATGTTAATTTTATTATTAGCACTACTATATTGCACAATATTACTTCTAAATTGTTAATGAATGCCTGTTTAATTGCATTCATATAAGACTGGCCTGGTTCTTCTTAGTACTGTCTTTATGACTTTTGTTGCCAATTATTTTTTAAGCATTACTTAATCAATGTGAAGAATGAGCTTTATTAATCACGATTATTTTCACTGTTGTGTTAGCTGCAATTAGGTGCCCTTATCCACGCAGGTGTTCCCCAGCAGCCTAATTAATCTTCCATAATTGCACTGTGCCAACAAACAGAACAATATGATGATCTTGTCAAAACTCTCTCCTTTCCCATAACCTATATCATTTACATTTTCCTGTTTTGGTGCCATCTGTGTGAACAGAATTATTTCAACACCCACAGTTTATCAGATTAGTTGTTTGCTGTTTAGAATTGTGCTTTGGGCTTTCTAATGGCCAAATCAACCTGGCCAGCTAAAAGGTCAATCTACTGTGTACCCATATAGCACCAGTGGGATCACTCTGTATAGTTAAACCATGTGCTCAAATACCCTTTAAAGCAATTTCTTTAATCGATATCACTCAGCTTTTAGGAATAGATTAGCATTTTAATAGGCGATTAGAAATCAAGAGGATAAAGCTAAAGTGATTTTTTTTTACACTGTGTCACACCTTTATGTGCATCTCAAATTACTAAATCAGAAGTACGGTTATCGTGATAATGTTGCTTTGGTGTGAATTCTTCATCTTGCTATAGATATATATTGTGGAATGCTCTCCCCAGGGAGGTGCGACTGGCATCTTCATTATACAGTGGTACCTCGGGTTACATACGCTTCAGGTTACATACACTTCAGGTTATAAACTCCGCTAACCCAGAAATAGTACCTCAGGTTAAGAACTTTTCTTCAGGATGAGAACAGAAAACGTGCTCTGGTGGCGCGGCAGCAGCAGGAGACCCCATTAGTTAAAGTGGTGCTTCAGGTTAAGAACAGTTTCAGGTTAAGAACGGACCTCCAGAACAAATTAAGTACTTAGCCTGAGGTACCACTGTACACCTTTAGGCACCAGGCAAAAACCTTCTCTTCAACCAGGCCTTTGGCTGATTAACATCCTATACCTTTTAAAAGTGTTTGTGGGAGAGGGGATTATTGGTTTGTGGGGTGTTTTTGTTTTTGTTGTTGTTTTATTATGTATCTTGTGTTTTTAGCTTGTATTCTTATGTTGTGAACTGCCCTGACATCTACAGAACAAATTTAATAAATAATAAGCAACTAAATGAAATAATACTCATGCAGTGGTTTCAAATGATCGCCATTTTGTCATATGCTGGTGTTTTAGAGGTGATCTCAAAGAAAACTTTCAGTAACTTCACAAGTGTTGTTCCTGATTTGGTAAAACTCTGATTTAGAGTGGGACTGGGAAGACTGTCACCCTGTATATTGGACAGCAGGAATGGACTCTATGGGTATCACAGAGGTCCTCAGTGGGTACCACGTCCTACTGTTAGGACAGTATCAGTACCTAGGGAATGAGTATTATGTATAGTCTTTGATTTATAGGGAATATATATGCAAGCCACCTTCCCTGAGTCAAGGAGTATAACTATCAGTGGGGCTTGCTATGGCCAGTAACAACAATTTCAGAAGAGAGACAATAACATCTGTAGTGAGGGTGTGCCAAAATAGGGTCTACTCAGCAGTACTTGCTTACAGCTCACATTTTAAAGCAGAGCAATCGAAAGAGTCAGGCATAGCAAAAAGGAGTTAATCTGTAACCAGAACATTTCTAGAAACCAAATTAAATAAAAAAGAATACTTGTGACCCATCAGTCTTTGCCAGTTCTTCATTTGTAAAGGTTACTGTGTGCTTTAGTAGGTTGTTGTGTACATGCCAACTTTTCCCAGCACACCTGGTTTTTGGTGGAACGGTTAGTCCTTGCAATTAAGCTTCCTTTTAAGACAACTGATTAGCAAAAATGGAAAGAAAAGAAGGCGGATTTTGTGGCAATGCAGCCGTTTGAACTTTAAAAGGAAAGTGTTTGTGTGCTCGGGGTTAGAACTTCAGGCACAACATAGAGCACAAGCTTCCATGTGCTCCAGTGAAAATATTACAAGTTTTCTGGTTAGTATTAAGTGAAAACCTTCAAGGAATTGCAAAGACTGAAGGAAGAGGAAGCAAAGGATACTTATTCCTCAGTTTCCCTGCAGTGAATTGATTATTTGAGAAGCTGAATTGAGTTAATAAAATGCTGTGTCTGTGACCTGTCCTTCAGAACAAGGAATGCTTCAGTGAGAGATTGGACTCTTACTTCTTTAGAAAAGAAGGAAAGGCTGGATCTCCTCATAGCTCTGAAGTGACCACTGGGGAAAGGGCAAGCCATAGGTGTGCAGGGTCTCAGTGCAGTGATTCTGCTGGCTCCACCCCAGTTATTTGGATGTCAAGATAGAACTCAGCCCTTAGGAGTAGTGTACCAAATGGGGCTGAGAGAAAATGTGCCAAAGTGGTTTGCGGCCTCTGATCCCATTATTTCTCATATACACACACAGAGTTTTTATTCCCAAGATCACTTTAGATAATGAATTATGGGTTGTGAAATTGAAATAATCAGGGTGACAGAAAGTGCTACTGAATTGTCTTCAAAGATAGTTTGGAACTCTCCCACCCAGCCCTGAATTGATTTGTTGTGTAGTAAATTAGTACAATTTAGATATATATAAAAACAATATGCACCTCAAACTCCTTTATCAAAGTAGATCATAGAATTGTAGAGTTGGAAGGGACCTCGAGGATCATCTAGTCCAACCCCCTGCAATGCAGGAATCTTTTGCCCAGCGTGCGGCTTGAACCCACAACCCTGAGATTAAGAGCCTCATGCTCTACCGAGGGAGCTATCCTAGGTGTGTTCTTTGCTGTCTGTGGGTCTGCATTTGTGTCGGCTTGAATCCTTTCCCCCCCCTCCCACAGAATCTGTTCTGCTTTACTAACCTCATTCTTTCATATATATTTTACGTTTTGCCATGTAGGTTTTTCACAGCTTTGCAGCCCTAGGCGGGCATTCTCTGAACAAGGTCCGCTCCGCCTCATCCGGAGCGCCTCTTTCTTTGCAGGTTTGCTATGTGCTGTGTGGATAGTCTAGTTGGTGTGACAAAACTGAGTGGATTTCGTAGTTTGGCCTTGGAAATAAAATACTGTTTCTAAAAATCTCTCAGGCATAGTTTATGCAGTGGATATGGATCACTGCAAAGGTTATCATAACATGTTAAAATTTCAAAGAATGTAACCCTTAATCTCTATTTCTACTCAGGTAATGATTTGGATGGAGCTTATGAATTTCTTAATAAAGTTTGAAGAAGAAAAAAGCAGGGGGGGGCTTGTAAATTCCAGACAAAAGGAATTTGCTATTAACTGTTTAGAGCTTGATTCAATAGGAGCTCCATTGTAAAAACATAATTATTTCACTGTTTGTATAACACTGAAATAAAGAGTATTTCCCCCGCTTCTATTAGCCGTGTTTTATTTCCATGCCTGGTTTAGATTTTCCCTTCTACAAATCTGGCAAATTTATGATTTCAAAAATGAGTATGATCAAGAGGCTTTTGATCTGGTGGATGAAATCCTAGCTTTGTTGGAGGCAATTTGGCTAGGATTTCATCTCTGTTTAGTAAGGACTGGCTGCAAATGCAGATAGCTTCATGCTTAGTTGAAGAAGCGATAGAAGTCTAAATCCAAATTCCATCTGTCCTAGAGCACCCACTTTACAGCTGTTTGCTATAAATTTCTTCTTTAGCATCTGCTTAGAGCTTGCACTGAGTGCTTTTGCTTCATAGCTAACTTGCCTTTTGTTATGTTCTTCCACTTGCCTTGAAATAAAGAGATGGGCTTTGGCAAACACTTGTCTGAACACTGGTCCAATCGAGTGCATTGGCTTGATCAGCTTTGCAGCCTTTCTTGGTGATGGGTGTGTGTGCTTTGCTGTTACTTTCCGTGTCCTAAGTGAATGCAGCCAATGAGCATGATTTATTTTGATAATTAAACCGAGCACTGCAAAGCCAAAGAGAAGCGTCATGTTCTCGTGCTAACTGGTGACTTTATCTGCATAGTTCACAGCAACCCTATGGACATGCCTGGGAGGGAGCTGAATGAAGACAGAGACAGCGGAATTGCAAGATCTGGTAATGTTTTTATCAGGAATATAAGGCCATTACACAAACTTTCCCTACTGCATATTGATTTGGCCTGTAATTAAAGTGTTATTTGTTTCCGCTTCTTGACCTTTCCCTAAGATGTGTTTCCCTTAAAAAAAAAAAAAGTTAACAAGTGATTTATGCTTTACATTGACCCATTTCCTATATAAATCCTGAACCAAGCCATATACAATATTTCCCATATATTGGGTAATACTTCTAAAATATGCCTGGCTTTTTAAAATAATATTTAATATTAAGAGGATATTCAGCACTTGGATATACAAAGTGAAATTGGTTCACCAATACTGGAAATTTTAAATAACGTAGGGCTAAGGTTGAAAGTTGGTGGAGGTCGCCCCAAGCCTGTGAGTTGTTACTGAACATACTTAAAGTATCCTTAATGTAAGCCAGGGATTTCCGTTGCCTCCTTGCCAAATCATCAATTCACGTTTAAACCCCTAGCTTATGTTCTGTCAAAGCTGACAAGTGCACAGAAGGCAAGTTCCCATAGGCTGAATGCACTTGCTCTTTCAACTGTGCCCCAGAAATGGGTGCTGTAAAGGGGCTGCCATGTCTACACCCAGGGCACTACATGCTCCCCTCCAAACACCTCCTTGGTTTTACACCATACTGGGGATGCCATACAATCTTGTTTGGTGAGGCTTCTGGGATGAAGCAGAAATGGGAAGTGTCTTGCATGGACCTGCTTCTCACAGATCTCTCTGTGAGTCGCCAAGGGCTAATGGTTTTTATCTACTGGGCCATACTGTTCACATTATAACACGATCACCCAAATAGCGTTTTTCTTCTAGCAAAGAGTTTTTTAAATATAATAAATAATTTCCTTCTCTTTTGTCGCAGCGTCTCTTAGCAGCCTGCTCATCACCCCATTCCCCTCCCCGGGCTCTTCGCTAAACAGAAGCTGTGCTAGTAGCTACCAACGGCGCTGGCGCCGCAGCCAGACGACAAGCTTGGAGAATGGGGTCTTCCCTAGGTGGTGAGTTAGACATTACTGCTGGTAGTAAATGATTTTCTTTCTTTCAAATTTTCACATGAAATATGTGCTTTTGCTTAGTTTGGAGGGAAATTCAAATTCCTCCGGTGGGAATCTCCTCATCTCAATTAAATCTGCAACCAGAAGGAGCTCTTCTTGCCCACAAAAACAGTATTCTGCACGCAACCCAGTGATGGGATCAGTCATATGCTAATCGCATGATATTGGGTTATTTATTCAGATCACATGGTGAAACGCAAGTACAAGTAATCAGGAAATGAATATAGTTATCAAGGAGTGGCCGGAGGAATAAACCTCACCTTATACTCAGATTTAAACAAAACCGTGATGGTTCCTTCTCCTTCCTTACTCCCCAGGAATTGGTGATCTTGAACAAAGTAGTAGCAGGGCAAGAGGGTAGTTAAACTATTTCTTATGAAGGGCTTCTCCGCTCGAAGCTACCTCCCAAGCTGTCTCCCCCCTTCATGGTTGCAAACATGAGTTGGCAAGTGGAAAGCACTCCTCCTAAAACAGCTTCTCCTGGGGACAGGGAGAAGCAAATGCATTTAGGTTCTAAATGTGCTGGTTCCTTCATAAAGCCACAAAAAGAATCTGTCTAATGTTGGAAGTTTTGCAGAACAGGAACATTTGCATGACATACATTTAAGCTTCTTTTTTCTCCTTTTCATGTTATGAAACCAAAATTGTGAGCAAAGCTAGACTGCCACACGCTGTAGACTGCAGGACTCGGAGAAGAAGCCTGCACATAAGAGTTAATTCACGTAGGGTGGGAGACAGATGCTCACTGTTCTATGAAAATGGTGGTATACAGTTCGTTGCTCATCCTTGTAATAAGTCCACACAGCAAAAGAGAGCAAGCCCTGATTTTTAAAACATAGCCCATTAGCGGCAAATGCCCAGATCAACCTGCAAATGCCAGCATGCCACATTTCTGCCATAGCTCAGTAGTAGAGAATCTGTTTTACTTGCAGACTGGGAATACCCCCTGTCTGAAATCCTGGAGAGCTGCTGTCAGTCAGTGCAGACAGTACTGAGCTAGATGGACCAATGGGTTTGACTTAATATACGGCAGCTTTCTATGCTCACAATGTTCCGAGATCAGCTACAGCAGACGTGGTTTTAAAAAATGAAACAACTGCTTTGGGGAAAGGGGGCTCACTTCAGTATGTTTAAAGAAAATAGTTTTGAGATATTTTCTGAAGTCATTAACTCTGCAACCTTTGTAAACCCCCTAAAGGTCGGTGGAAGAGAGTTTTAACTTATCAGATGACAGCTCCAGCCCGAGCCCAGGAATTGTCAGGAAAAAGAAAATAGCTATTGGGGTGATTTTCACGCTCTCAAAGGATGAAGAAGAAAACAGCAAATTTAATGAGTTCTTTTTCTCACACTTCCCTCTTTTTGAGAGCCATATGAACAAGCTGAAGAGCGCAATAGAACAGGTAAATATCACCAGCTCCTGTTCTAATCAGAATCTCCATTTTAATATGCCTAAGCTTCTGTCATTTGGTTTTTCCGGATTGTTTTGTGGGTCACACTAGTTTTAAATTAGGGGTGCTGGACCACACTGTGAACGAGGCATGGGCCAAAGCACACAAAAGTAGACTCAGTAACACTGATTCTGGGGAAAAGGCATAACTCAGTGGTAGCGAACATCCTTTTGGCCATAGTATGTGGCAGAGCTGCCCTTTCGACATGGGCTTCTGTGTGGCTTTGCTGGATTGGGCTGGAGCAGGGTGTGACAGCAAGGTCAAGGTGGGTGCTTGAGTGGGCCCTATCTGACAGCCCCAGCCTTGCCACTCACTTCCTTGAGACAAGAAGAAGAGAGGTGGGTTTACCTGCTCTGCCTAAGAACTGAAACTCTCTTCAACTTGAGTTTTTCCTCTATCTCTTAGAACAAATCTTATCACCAAAATGAGTGGTGTTTACTGCTGGGTGCAGGCCGATTAATTCAGGGGACTGTTTAAACACTGCTCCTGAAGTGAAGGAGTCTCTGTGCGAAACCTTGGACCTCTTTATAGCCTTCTGCAAGCAAAAGTGTGGAAAAAGAAAGACAGTGCAAACACATATGCCTCATATATCTCTACCTTGATATGAAACTTGGAAAGCAGCCAACGTTTATCATGGCACAAAAACAAAACAAAAAAACCAACCCACTGTTTGCTTGTCCGGGTACACCTTAGATAGAACAGAGCACATGACTTTGTTTTTCATTTTCTGTTGCCCTGACTAATGTTAGTTATATATTTTACTATTGTTTTCAAGGCTATGAAAATGAGCCGTCGATCAGCTGATGCCAGCCAGAGGAGTTTGGCATATAATAGGATTATGGATGCCTTAAATGAATTCAGGTGAGTTTGTTTCAAACCCTTGTGTGTCGTTGCCAAGTATTTGAGTGCTTCTCTTGGAAACAATTTCAGGGTTTCTAAATCTGGAAAAACTTTCCATTTAAGCCCTTCATCTCACGGCTGAGATCTGTAGATCTAGTTCACTGCAGAGCAGCAAGGGAACCAGGTGGAATCCAGCTGTGAAAATGCTTTTTTAAAAAAACGTTTTGAAGAAGGCATTGAATTTTGCATAGCTCACTGTTGCCATCTAGTGTCACATTTGTATATTGCACATAACAACACATTTAAAGCGTTTTACTTGCAGCTGTGTAGTTGAATCCCCAGTGCCAGGTGGAGGCTAAAGCATCACGCATTGCTGTGGAAACCCACAATTCAAATCCTTGTTCAGCTTGAAGCTCTCCTGCCACCTCATGTTTGCTTGAGCCACGTTTCTGTGGACCTCCATCCTAGCAGAGATTGTCTTCTTAAAAGACTAGAACAGAAGCGCCCTTGAGAAATTTCCCCCAGCTTCCTCCTTTTTTTTTTATAAATTTTTTTATTAGTTTTCCAGACATGTAGTAAAAACAAACAACAAAACAAAACATACACACAAATAAACATGTACAATTTCATAGACTCGTTCTCCTTCACCTTGTTTCCCGGACTTCCCCATACCTCCCTTTTTCTGCATCCTTACTTTTCCCTTTTAACAGCAACCCTTCATTTCATTATTAATTCATCTTCATTATAGCTCCCTTAAATTTATGATATACAGCTGCAATTCTCTATTTCTTAACACCATAACATCTCAGCACTCTTCAATTTTACAACAATTTTTAAGGTATACTTTAAATTTCTTCCAATCTTCTTCCACTGTCTCTTTCCCCTGGTCACGGATTCTGCCGGTCATCTCAGCCATTCCCATGTAGTCAATCACCTTCGCTTGCCATTCTTCCAGAGTGGGTAGCTGCTGCGTCTTCCAATACTTCGCCAGAAGAATCCTTGCTGCTGTGGTAGCATACATAAAGAAAGTTCTGTCCTTCCTTGGCACCAATTGGCCCACCATGCCCAGGAGAAAAGCCTCTGGTTTTTTAGGAAATGTCCATTTAAGGACCTTTTTGATTTCATTGTAGATCATTTCCCAGTAGGCCTTAATCCTCGGGCAGGTCCACCAAAGGTGATAGAAAGTACCTTCAGTTTCATTACATTTCCTCCCCCAGCTTCCTCCTTTATGGCCAACATCCTTACTGAACAAATTGCTGTTTGGCATGAGCAAATTGTTCAAAAGTGGCCGCATAGTTTAAGATCTGAGTTTTGCCCCTGAAATATTGACGGTCATGAGCTTGCTGCAATGGCTGCCGTGCCTTTGGAAATCCAGGACAGAACTCTTGCTGTGCTTGGGAGCTATCAGTGTGATACTTTTTTTACAACCTTGTGCTTAGTTGGTTCTTTTATGACTAGAGAGGTTAAAGGGGCTTGCTGTTCTATTTGTTTGTGCAACTTAAAAACACTTCAAGAAAGTTAGTACACAGATATAGTCAAGTATAGTCAGGATTAGGACAGAGATTTGAAGGACAGGGGGTGCATACTTGTAGTGCATTGCATTTATTAAGACAGTCGGACCTTGGAAGTCCAACGGAATCCGTTCCGGAAGTCCGTTCGACTTCCAAAGCGTTCGAAAACCAAAGCACAGCTTCTGATTCGCCGCAGGAAGCTCCTGCAGCCAATTGGAAGCCACAGAAGCCCCGTCAGGCGTTTCTCTTCCAAAAATAGTTCGCAAACCGGGAACAGTTACTCCCTGGTTTGCGGCATTCAGGAGCCAAAACGTTCGGGAACTAAGCTGTTTGACTTCCAAAGTACGACTGTGTTATCAGTTCTGCTGCCACCCTGGTTTGTGCAAGCAATGCAAACAGCTTGTGTGGAATTAATACAGTATATGAATCCCTGTGGACCCATGTCTGGGTGGAGGGTGAGATGGCTGGTTTCCTGGACTCAGAACGCAGGATTAGCACACAGTGAGCCCCAGTAGCAGAATATTAAACTGGCAAATATAAGCAGCATTGGGAATATAAGTTGTTAAACCTTTCTATCCCATTCAGCTGCACACAGCAGCAGCTGCCCTCTTTCTACCCACCTTGTAATGAGCAAAGTAGGTTTAAAAGGTCTTACTTACAGAATCAAGGTCCCAGTCATGCATTGTTCCATGCAGCAACAAGGATAATACATTTGGGTAGAAAATAAAGAATATAACTCCAAACACATGCTGTAAGCTTGGGCACAAGCTTGCAAACACTCTCCTTTGTTGGTTACATGCGGGGGGGGGGAGAGAGAGAAAGGAAGGAAAGAAGTAGATAGGCTTCCTCGCTCTCTGAAGGAGAGGGGGTGTAACCTAATTGACTCTAACAATACAACTGTGGTCCTTTACCCCTTCATGCACTAACTAGCCCTATGCTTGCTAGTTGTACTGGGCTGCAACCTCCCACACAGCTGTCATTTTGGATTGGTTTGCAGTAGAGATTCGGCATGGGAAGGATCTTTCCCTCCCTTTTATGCCTCTGGAAGGAGTATCATTCATTTGATCCCTGATTTGTGTCTCCTTCTTGGTTCTGTTTCATTAATTAATTTGAGCATGGTTCCCTTTGCCCCACAGAGCAAATCCAAGTAGGGATCACTTTCCAACGTGAAAGTAGGAATATGCTTTAGGAAGAAGAAAACAATTCAGCTTTATACTGTACAACTGAGACTCTTGACTAAGCCTTTAAACACATTGTAAATACGTGGCACATTGATTGCATAATTTGTTGGGAGTGTGTGTGTTTGTGTGCACTTCCAGTTTTATGCCCCGGTTTCCATGGTGCAGCAACTATTGTTCCACAGCAGCATAATTGAGTGCACAAAATCCAGGATATATTCATACAAATGAAACTACCTTTGGGTGGTTTTACTTTTTAACTAAGCATGTTAATGTGTGGAAAGGCTAGTTGCCAAGGTGTTTTCTATGTTGAGTCCCCCTTTTTTTAGTGCTACGTTGGGTTTTACTGCTGCAAATTCCACAGCAAAAAAAGTATTTATTTATGGTATGTGAAGCAGGAGAATCGCTGGTTCTCCTTCCAACCTTCTTTGTAACAAAAATGAAAGAGGCCAAATGCTGAAAAGAAACGGAGATTCAAATATCAGCTGGTTTGGCAGAATAAATTTAATAACCTAGCAGAGAAAGAGAGAAAATAAACCCATTTCTATGCTGTGTTAGGGATAGCATTTTAAAGGAAGAAGAATGAATACTTTTCTTGCTTATGATATTGATGACATTTTGGAGTATCGCCTGTTGCTTGCAATAAGATAAAGCCAACTCAGGTCTTTAAGCTGGCTTCCCACACGTCAGTGGCCAATACCAGCTGCAGTTTCAGTGCTCTGTTTAGAGGCCATCTGACTGCTTAGAAATGTTATACACATGCGTGTTTCACTCACTTCATTGGGACAGAAAGTGGAAAGAAAACTAAATTATTGTACAACTATTTTTAATGGTATAACAAATGGGCTATAGCCATAGGTTTACAGCAAACATATTCATATTTTAGGTTCTTATTACATATCCCCCTTCTTTATGTGCTTTATATATGGGCTTGTTTTTTGCAATAAACAATGAATAGGGATGCATTCAAACATCAGCAAACTAGATTGCTCCTTACTGAAGAAGCAGTGATTCAAAAAGTTGCCAGTGACCTCCCTGCATTCTTATGTGAAAGTGCTATTTTATTTTATGTGCTTTTACACACGGGATAATCAGTTATGTTTTCCGTCCCACTGAGTCTAGAATGCTCTGGCAGCCTACCATGCAAAGTCTCTATTATAGCATTTCGGTATCATTTATCGTTTCATTTAATTTATATTTTTAATACTTCTGTCCTGCGCTTCATGGAAATTCATTCCAAGGTGGTTTACAACAGAACAAGCAGAACATTAGCATGCAACAAACCGCACTACAACAAACAAACAAGCAATAAAAAGCAGGGTCTTTTAAAAAAAACACAACACCCCAAAGAAACTGAATTTAAAATTTGCATGTGAATTTTGCCTGGCACCTAGAAAAAAATCATGCTTCCCCTTTATGTTGCCCACCTATGCAGGTGTGCAGTATCCACAAAGAGACGTTCACCTGTGTAATTCTGTAGGGAATGTTATCTTAGCAAAGCTACAGGATTTTCACTCATCCTGCTGACTAGATATCTTGTATACCCATCCCCTTTCTTTCAAGACCACCTTGTACAAGTTACAGATGTGCTGCTGTCTCATTTTTAGAACAAGCCTGCACCGTTCATAAATGATTATTGGAATGTAGACATTTTTGACAGCACATCCAAAGCTTGTGTATCTGATTGCTCTTTTAGCTTTGCAGTGTTCCTTCTTGACAGTATGTGATGTCTTGCTGGGCTGATTAGATTTTTAAAAGAAGCTGCCTCCGAGGTTTAAATCTTGTTTATGCAAGGGGATGTTGTAGGCCTGTGTGAGACAATCTTTGCATTTTTGTATAGCCTTGTAAGGAAGATCGTCTTAGAATTAAGATATGGGCTATTTTTAGTATACATGAATGTATTTATTTGGGCCAAGCCAAATTAGTGGGTAGGGATGGTTTGGGGGGCGTTGTCCACATTTCCCTAAAAATGTGTGCTTGTGCCAAATAATATCACATACTGAAGAGAGCTAAAGAAAATACCACTCCCTGGGATACAAACTACTACGAGCCAACTACTGAGGGTGTTTCAGAGCTGCTGTAAAGGGAATCTGCCCCCTTGAGTTCTCTGCTTACACCTGAAAATTAAGACCTTTCCCTGCTGTTGTTTCTCACCAGTTCAGAAACGAAGGTGGGCTGTATTCTGAGCCACAGTTCCAGTCTCAAGGTATTCCCTGCTAGGAAGTGTTGATATTAATAAATATCTTGCTAGTCTTGTGATACATTGCAGATCCACCTTGCATATTTATTAGTTATTATAAATGCACAAAGCATTTAAATTCATTATAAAACT